CTTGAGTCCTTGTGGCTTTTCTCTTTTCTCGCAGTTGGAAAACCACCTCATGGAACTCATTTTTTGAGACAATCGAAAACATCCAAACGGCTGTAACCGACCAGCTAAAAGCTCCTGTATCGGAGTTCCAGGACTGCCATGAGGAGTGGAAGAACCATCTCCAGCGCTATGTAGCTAAAGAAGGGAGCTGTTTTGAGGGCAACATTACAAAATTGTAATTATATTTGAACAAAAAAACTGAAAAACAAAACAGTCTCATCACTTAAGTTACAGACGTCGTAAGCATAAATAAATACGTGGCGGTCGTCATTTCCACGTGTTTGCTTGCCGTTTAAACTGTTTCAAAGACTAGACCTGAGGCCTATACCACACTGGTGAGTTGCTAACGATACCGAAGCAGCGCTGTCTGCGGTTGGTTATGGTTGCAACAGACGAGAAGCAAACACGTCCATTTAACCTGAACCTTGGAGAAATCAGAAATATTATCAACCAAATGACAGTATTCGGATTTAAGCTTGCCAATGGTTGGCATGGTGAAAAATTGGCAACGCCATGTTCCACTTAGCACTATCGTGATTTTCGTCAAACCTTCATCGAACTATGAATAAATGAAAAATATATCCTGACGACGCTTATCATGGTGATATTTTTCCCGTGGAGAGTATTTTTTCCTGCGGATAGCGTGGAGAACTCTGCAGGAATTTGAATGTTCGCGCGACACGCATTATCGAATAACATCAACGTCGACTTGACGTCAGGAAATATGATAAATTGATAATCGTTATCCGTTACATACGGTATTGCGCAACCATTCAGGCGATAAATTCGTAACGTTGTGCTTAGAGACAATAGCGCCCTTTGTCAAAATTAGTCGAGAATTTCATTATGCTTAATAGGGTGATTGCATTCGTGAGATATGTGATTTCTGATGTATATACATATAAATCCGAACACCCAGTTTAAATGGTTTTATTTTAATAAAATTTTGTATAAGTACTTAATGAAGCATAATAAGTAAATGATAAAAATTTCAAAATGATTGCACTGCTTTAAAGCCCTTTGACCTTTAATAATGTGTGGATGCACCCTGATGTGCTACGCATTCTCCAACGCGCCTAGGCATGCTTCTGATCAGGTGGTCAATGTCCTCCTGTGGTATCTCATTCCAGGCAACCACCAACTCCTCTCGAAGTGCTTCTAGAGTCTGAGGAGGACGTTGCAAATTGAGCAATCTCCTACCCATCATATCCCACACGTGCTCAATTGGGGATAAGTCGGGAGATCTTGGTGGCCATGGTAACAATGTGACATCATTATGTTGAAAGAAGTATATTGTGACTCTTGCAACATGTGGTCGGGCATTATCTTGTTGGAAAGTTGGATCTGCCAGGGTGTCAAGATAGGGTAAAAGATGGGGTTCTAGAACTTCGTGGTTATAACGCTGCGCGTTCATGTTACCTCTGATGAAGATTAAAGTTGTCCTGGAACCATAAGCTATAGCACCCCAAACCATAACTCCAACAGTGTGATGAACATGTCTTTCAACAAAAAACTGTGGATTCCTCCTTTCACCACGTCGCCTTCTGACCCTGGCACGACCATCGTGCATGCCTAAACAAAATCGAGACTCGTCACTAAAGACAATACTGTTCCATTCCTGATCCCAGAGTGACCGTTGTCTGCACCACTCAAGGCAATTACGTCGGTGTTCTCGAGTTAAAGGGAGGACCCAGTGTGGCCGGTATGAAAACAAGCCAAAACTTCTCATTCGTCGGTAAACACTTCGCATGCCAATAGGACTCCCGTGTTCTGCAAACCATTCATTTGCAATGGACCTGGTAGTGGAGAAACGGTCCCTTAAGGCGGCGATCTTCACGGTCTGTTGTTCTACGGCGGCGTCCAGTGCCCCTTGCTCTTTGCGTACGGCCTTCTCGAAGCCATGCCTGACATCACCTAACCACAGTGTCTACACTTCTTTGCACTCTAACTGCAATTGCCCGGAAAGAAAGTCCAGCTTCCCGAAGTCCCACTATACGGCCCCTATCAAACTCACAAGTTGACGAAATCGTACAGGTCTCCGTACTCTAGGCATCGTAACCGATCGTAAAGGATGTCAAGAACCAAAATCCGCCAACGTTGATTCTTTACTGCGGCTGAAATATTCATTTTTAGAGCGTTAGTGAATTAAAAAAAAGCAGTATAAAAACCGGAATGTCCAACTGATAAGGCTGAAAATTTTTTCACTTGTTATTTACAGTAAGTTAAATACCCAACTTCTATTAAAATAAAACCATTTAAACTGGGTGTTCGGATTTATATGTCAATTAGTATAGGAAAAAAATGTGTAAAAGCAAGGGCACTGATTTGTTTCAAATGATAGCCGGAACTGTTTTATCGTCAAGACGCCATAAAGTGTATCATTGGTCCTAAGAAAAACCAGAGAGGCTGACGATTCTGGCGCTATAGTAGACGTGGTCTACTCGCCATTGGACAACTGAAACATACTGATTTTGTCACCCAACCATAGACAGCTAGTTTCGTACTTGTTGTCATTGGTCGATTGAAAATTGTCCTGAAAGTAATATCTCAAGTAAAACTATATACGGGATGTCCCAACGAAAATGTAAAGCAGTTTTATGAACAAACTAGAAAAGATGTCAAAGATCTGTTTTCGTGGCAACCCTGATATGTTACTAGTGCATATTTTCAAATTATTTTGATATATATATATATATATATATACCGCAAAGTTGGGGTTTTCCTTTTCAGAAACAACTATCCTTGAAATAACAAAGGTAATGTGTTGTGAAACGAGGGCGACCAAGTAAAAAAAAATAAAGGAAAAAGTACTCACTCTCCAGTTGACGAGAAGGGCTAAGTACGTCTCTGCCGAAATCATACCGCTCCAACAGAAAATGAAATCAGCTGAAGCGCTACCGAGCAGACGCAGAAACCACATTGATTGTCTTACACTTAATGGCACATCTTCTAACAAGGAAGGCAAAATGTTGCGTGAAAAGTCTAGGTATTGCATCCCGTCCAATCGATTTGGGAGAATAAATGGTCCAGTGAGCATACCGTTCACCATGCCAGCCCAAACATTCACCGAAAATGTTTGTTGAAAATGACCAAACATGAGTGTTGCGAAAGTTACCCCATTACGCGTGAACGTAGATTCGTCTGTCACCAATATACACTTCAAAAAGTCCGGATTATTGTCATGTTGATGCAACAACCACTCACAAAACCGCACTCTTGCTGGAAAATCGTCAGGTTGGACGTGAAACGGATACAGCCCCTATTCACGCAGCATTTGCCACACTTTAGTTTTTGATACTTGCACTTCTCTAGCCACGTCTCTAGTGCTTGTTGTTTTTTGAAACGCAATCGATTATACGAGTTCGTTTATCTCTAAACGCGTGACCGTAACCGTCGGTTGAAGGTTGCATACTAACCTGACACACTGACCCCGACCCAGTTCTGCCACCTTGTTTCATTCGGGGATATCGCGGCGGGTCGGAGCTACAGGACGGTATTCAGATATTTTTGATGTTGCAGAGCCCTTTATCTCGGTTCCCTTAAGACATTGGTGTATATGGTACTAAGAAAAATTGCTTATGTTTTCAAGATCTACACGTCGTGTAAAGGAAAACCCCAACTTTGCGGATACCCTGTATATATATACAGGGTGGCGCATCGAAAACGAAATAAACGCATTTACTGGCAGCTTTTTGAAAAAACGCTCAGACTCGTCGATTTTGTTTTCGCAGGGGACACAAGTTTGGCAAGAAATCACGTTAACACGTGCAGCCCCCTGGGCGGAGGTGACACCAACCCTAAAATCTTAAATGGAAAGGGGGGGTCGAGTGATACCTTATTTTAAAGGTCTTTCAATTCCCTTTATAATGATATAAAATTAATGTACTTCAGTTCAGTAGTTTTGAAGATTTTTCGATTTAAAGCTTAAAGTAGACTTTAATAGGTACATCAGATTAGTTTGTACTACTTTCAGAAGAAATTTGACTAAAAAAACTTACTTAATAAGTAAATGCTTTTCTTCACTACGCCCATGGTTTGTTTATCATTTTGTTGTTGAAAATAGCTATTAGAGCGTTTTTTGGTGGCAAAAAAGTTATTTATTGAAGAAAGATATATAGGAATTTAGTACATAGTTTGCGATTAATTTAAACAAACTTTGTTGATAAAATAACTTGTAACGCTTTATTACATAAATTAAACATGGTATATTCAACAGCAGAAAGAGTCGAAATTCATATCAAGGCAACCACGAAAACAGATTTTTGATCTTGTCCAGTTTGTTCATAAAACTACTTCCCATTAAGTGGGGACACCCTGTATAGTCAAACCTAGCTACGAGTTTCCAGAATTGACCTTAACAACCGACATGATATTGTAGACCCAAGTTGAATGGCCCCTATTTTCAATAATTATCAACTTTTGTCAAAGTAAACCAGTCTCTCGAAGGTTCGTCCGTGATACAAACATTACACCGTCCCTTAACTACGTCAGTTCACCCTTATACACGGCAATTTGCTGTCATTCAGGCTGGCGAACGCCCCGCTCGCTGGCGGCTGCTCATCAATCAAGTATTCGAGGTGAGCCTCGAAAGATGGTTTGGACGACCCCAGAATATTAATGATGAGCGATAAAGACGATACCCACCCAACCTCTAAAAGACTATTTTGGACTATAAAGGTGCGACTACACGTCACACGCCACACGAAAATCACTCAGGCTTACACCTGTTCATTAAGGTGGAGGCCACCTAGAATATGCTAGACTTTTACCCGATTGCATCGCCCTCATCGTGTCAACTTAAAGCTAACTTGAACTTCAGTACCACTTTCTTGTTCCCCTAAATTTTCCTAGCCAATCAAAAGCTCATGAGTTGAAGAAAATCTCTTTCATAATTATACTAAGTGATGAAAGAAGGTAAAAATTTTCTATATACATTATGAAAAACGACGAAAAGCAAGTCTAGAGGAAGAGGGTAAAAAGAAGCGTAAAGCAATATATATATATATATATATATGTTTTTATTAAGACAAAAATAAAAACGATTTAGCCAAATTTTAGTTTTTCCAAATGACTAATTTCTCAGTGTATGCAATGTGCGCAATTTATTTAAAAAACCATAGGGTGTCAACCCCAACACACAAGTAGATAAGTATGCGAGGCTCACCTAGTTTCCTGCACAGATATCCTGTTTCCTTCAGACTAGTTAGAAGTAGACCTAATTTCCATTTTCGAGACACTTGACACCCACGTCACAACACCAAGGCACCACTGAGAGACAATCGAGTACCCTATAGAGAACACGACAACTGAAACAAAGTAGCTAAACCGAATAGAGCTCTGTACGGAGCTTTGCACGCGTAGACATTCCGCTGCGCCGATGGTTGCCGAGAGACTGAAGCGTGCGAGTGCTGTACCTCGCTGCGGCGATACGGTACGGCCGGGTAGTACAGCCACGCCCCTTTCCAGCTCCCACTCCGCGCGTCTGCTCCCGAGGCGACTCGATGTTTACGTTGACCGGTAGCAGACGCGCGGACTGGAAACTGGAAAGGGGCATGGCTGTACAGTATCGCCGCAGCGAGGTACGGCACTCACATGCTTCAGTCTCTCGGCAACCGTCGCCGAAGCGGTATGTCTACGCGTTCGCAGCTCCATGCAGAGCTCTGTTCGGTTCAGCTACTTCAGTAGTAGTTCTCACTATAGGGTTCTCGATTGTCTCTCAGTATTGCTTTAGTGTTGCGACGTGGGTGTCAAGTGTCTCCAAAGTGGAAATTAGGTCTACCTCCAACTCTTCTGAGGGAAACAGGATATCTGCGCAGTAAACGAGGTTGACATCCTATCTTTTTTTTTTAATAAATTTCGCACATTAATCCATATTAGTCAAAGAATCACTTCCAAAGCGACTCATTTTCACTACATAAGCTTACTAGCAAATAACATACGATGACACTGATGCAACGATTGAAGATAACTATAAACTTTATTGTACAAAAGTTACTAAAAACATTATTATAAGCATAATTATTATGTATACGATACATGTTAATATAGATACTTGACAGATTATCTCCTATCCATTTTCCAATCAAGATGATAATAAAAAATGAACCTATTCTTCTAGACTAGTTAACTCACGCCTTGTATGCTACATTTTGTAGAAAGTGAAACTTATGTGTACAGTATATTATACTTACTATATATACTAAGTGACATATAAATCCGAACATCTAGTTTAAATGGTTTTATTTTAATAAAAGTTGGTGAATGTATTTATCTTACTGTAAATAATAAGTGAAAAAATCTTCAGCCTTATCAGTTGGACATTCCGGTTTTTATACTGCTTTTTTTTTATTCACTAACGCTCTAAAAACGAATATTTCAGCCGCAGTAAAGAATCAACGTTGGCGGATTTTGGTTCTTGACATCCTTTACGATCGGTTACGATGCCTAGAGTACGCAGACCTGTACGATTTCGTCAACTTAGTGAGTTTGATAGGGGCCGTATAGTGGGACTTCGGGAAGCTGGACTTTCTTTTCGGGCAATTGCAGTTAGAGTGCAAAGAAGTGTAGACACTGTGGTTAGGTGTTGCCAGGCATGGCTTCGAGAAGGCCGTACGCAAAGAGCAAGGGGTACTGAACGCCGCCGTAGAACAACAGACCGTGAAGATCGCCGCCTAAGATTATTGGCCTTAAGGGACCGTTTCTCCACTACCAGGTCCATTGCAAATGAATGGTTTGCAGAACACGGAAGACCTATTGGCATGCGAAGTGTTTACCGACGAATGAGAAGTTTTGGCTTGTTTTCATACCGGCCACACTGGGTCCTCCATTTAACTCGAGAACATCGACGTAATCGCCTTGAGTGGTGTAGACAACGGTCACTCTGGGATCAGGAATGGAACAGTATTGTCTTTAGTGACGAGTCTCGATTTTCTTTAGGCATGCACGATGGTCGTGCCAGGGTTAGAAGGCGACGTGGTGAAAGGAGGAATCCACAGTTTTTTGTTGAAAGACATGTTCATCACACTGTTGGAGTTATGGTTTGGGGTGCTATAGCTTATGGTTCTAGGTCACCTTTAATCTTCATCAGAGGTAACATGAACGCGAAGCGTTATATCCACGAAGTTCTAGAACCCCATCTTTTACCCTATCTTGACACCCTGGCAGATCCAACTTTCCAACAAGATAATGCCCGACCACATGTTGCAAGAGTCACAATAGACTTCTTTCAACATAATGATGTCACATTGTTACCATGGACACCAAGATCTCCCGACTTATCCCCAATTGAGCACGTGTGGGATATGATGGGTAGGAGATTGCTCAATTTGCAACGTCCTCCTCAGACTCTAGAAGCACTTCGAGAGGAGTTGGCGGTTGCCTGGAATGAGATACCACAGGAGGACATTAACCACCTGATCAGAAGCATGCCTAGGCGTATTGGAGAATGCGTAGCACATCAGGGTGCATCCACACATTATTAAAGGTCAAAGGGCAATCATGCAATCATTTTGAAATTTTTATTTACTTAATATGCTTCATTAAGTACTTATACAAAATTTTACTAAAGTAAAACCATTTAAACTGGGTGTTCGGATTTATATGTCACTTAGTATAGTTTCTTATGTTCTTTAGGCAGTCACTCTACCAACCGATTTAACCTAATTATTATTTTTTAGCACAGGGATTTGGCATACTTCCTTGAAAACACACGATTTTCGTATTTTAAATATCATGCGCTAATCGTATACAGCGATACAGACTCACTCTGCACTACATCCTTTTTCTAGTTTTCGAATCCCAACTTGATACCCTGTAGGCGTTGTATTCTAAGTAATTTGAATCCATTGCCCGCTGAGTCAGCAGGTTATAGCTTTAAGCAAATGTGTGCTGTTATATCAAAAAAACCTGTCAATAAAGCAAATAAACCATTGATGAATATACTCCTCAAGAAGAATACTAAGCTGTATTTGGATGTTCACATACAATTCCCGTTGCCACAAAGTCATGATGCCAAGTTAAACAGAAAAAAAACTGTCGAACATGGCTTCAATCTCACTTTTCAATCCCATTCATAACTATTTTTGTCTTGTCAGAGATTCTAACCGACAGAAAAGAAATTCCAGTATCTGCGGTAACAGTCCGAAATATACTAAGTGACATATAAATCCGAACACCCAGTTTAAATGGTTTTATTTTAATAAAAGTTGGTGAATGTATTTATCTTACTGTAAATAACAAGTGAAAAAATTTTCAGCCTAATCAGTTGGACATTCCGGTTTTTATACTGCTTTTTTTTAATTCACTAACGCTCTAAAAATGAATATTTCAGCCGCAGTAAAGAATCAACGTAGGCGGATTTTGGTTCTTGACATCCTTTACGATCGGTTACGATGCCTAGAGTACGGAGACCTGTACGATTTCGTCAACTTAGTGAATTTGATAGGGGCCGTATAGTGGGACTTCGGGAAGCTGGACTTTCTTTTCGGGCAATTGCAGTTAGAGTGCAAAGAAGTGTAGACACTGTGGTTAGGTGTTATATCCACGAAGTTCTAGAACCCCATCTTTTACCCTATCTTGACACCCTGGCAGATCCAACTTTCCAACAAGATAATGCCCGACCACATGTTGCAAGAGTCACAATAGACTTCTTTCAACATAATGATGTCACATTGTTACCATGGCCACCAAGATCTCCCGACTTATCCCTAATTGAGCACGTGTGGGATATGTTGGGTAGGAGATTGCTTAATTTGCAACGTTCTCCTCAGACTCTAGAAGCACTTCGAGAGGAGTTGGTGGTTTCCTGGAATGAGATACCACAGGAGGACATTGACCACCTGATCATAAGCATGCCTAGGTGCGTTGGAGAATGCGTAGCACATCAGGATGCATCCACACATTATTAAAGGTCAAAGGGCTTTAGAGCAGTGCAATCATTTTGAAATTTTTATCATTTACTTATTAGGCTTCATTAAGTACTTATACAAAATTTTATTAAAATAAAACCATTTAAACTGGGTGTTCGGATTTATATGTCACTTAGTAATGACAACGTTGGCGCTTTGAGACGGTGGTATATAGTTGTACCCGTAAGTCGTGCCAAGTTTCATTTGCTTGTTTTCGCAATTTTAATGGAATATGGCTAAGAAAAATGCATGGAGAAACAGTGTAAGTTGCTATGTGATCGAAACATTCCCATATCGAATTCTACCTCTGGTATTCATGTTTCCCTGAAGTCACGTGATGGACCCTCATGTTTTTCTGGACAACTAAAACCACATATGTAGAAATTCCCCTTTGCTGACGTTTCGACTTTTGAAGAGGTCCCAGTGATGGTCGGAATTTCGGTTAAAGACCAATTTTTACATATGTTACCATTTAGCTATAAAAACGTATAAAATGAGCAAAACCTGTAAAAAGCAAACTATGTTTATCGTAACGCCGAAGCGCCTTAATATTGGACTCTACCATCATTATGGGTGTTTTATTTTCGAGCCAATACTATCAAATTGCCATGCACAACAACGTTAATTTGTTCTATAGTCAAAACACTCTACCACTGGAGTTTCTCTATTCCATAGTATGGAAAACGACCCACTCTCTACCGCAGGCAGGCGACGAAGCATTAGCGATGTAAATTAGCCTACATCGCATCGAGAACAGCTTCGCTTGCTTCACAGGCGCGCACGTTCCCCGAACTGACGCTACGTAACCATAACTAGCTGCTTTTCAGCTATAGTCTAGGGAAACTTTGTTGCAACTCATCTCATAAAGCTCGGACATCTTAAGAATGTAGCTACAACGCAAGAATAATAGCCCAGAAAAAAATGTGTCCTTTGTTCATATCAGCGATGACAATTTCATTCTTGCGTTGTGGCTACAAAATCTTTGTAGTTGTGTCTTAATTACTAGTGAGGACTACCCACCTACTCTCTCTCTACAAATAAAAATAAGCACACGTAACGTCATACGTATCTGTCAATCACCGTCTTTAGGTGCGTGCTTTGCCGCAAGTTATGGAATTGCGTTTCCCGTCGTTGAGAAATTCTGAAAGTACAAAATCTTAAAAATGAGTACGGCAAAAAAACTTATAACATGTCAACTTGCAGACTAGGTCGTTCTTTAGGGCGCAGGCAGTCATTCCACGTTTGCTCACTAGGATCTTTGTGAACGTCCACCTATGGAGGAATCGCTAAACTAAGCTACACTCACTATTGGTTGCATAGTTTTGTGAGGCCATATGGTCCATGTCTGAGAAGAAAGTTGAGACAAGAACCCAATGTAATTTATCATCAAAAAATACAACTTACAGATCAGACCTCCAGTAATGTCAAAAAAACCAGCATGATGTCATAAAAAATTGGCATAATGTCACTTTTCAAGATACGTGATACCCGTGCCGGTGAGATTGAGAGATAATCTTTTCTTGGAAGATTGATGTGTTTAAGAATAAACAATTCTCTTTAAACTATTTTTATACGTTATGTAATCTTCAGGTTCAGCATAAGGTTTGGCATTTTCTTACAGAATTCGACTCAATGCTTCTATAGCTCATACCTGATCATATCTCTCTCGTCAACAATATTTTCAACCTATTGTCACATTTTGACACCACTCATATGCGTATATTCCATGTAATGCAATTGCATATTTCTGTATATCTTAATTTACTTATATATCGGGTGTCTTTGAAGTT